TTGAACATTGAGCATCAAGATCTATAAGGATAGATCAAAACGCTTAATAGTACTTTCAAATGGGCACATGCCTTGACGTGATCTTGAAGGTGTTCAAGATGGATCAGTCAAAGAAGGAGTTCTTGCCTGAGTTGTAAGGTATGAAGTTAAGACTTAAAGCTCGACCATGGCAGAATAGAGAGAAAGGAACGAAGGTCGTCCCCTATGCTTAAGACATAGGCTCTACAGTATGCTATGCTGTGTACCGCACCTGAAGTGTGCTTTACCATGAGTCAGTCAAGGGGTACAAGAGTGATCCAAGAATGGATCACAGGACAGCGGTCAAAGTTATCCTTAGTAACTAGTGGACTAAGGAATTTTCTCAATTATGGAGGTGGTAAAAGAGTTCGTCGTAAAGGGTTACGTCGATGCAAGCTTAACACCTATCCGGATAGCTCTGAGTAGAGATACTGGATACGTATAATGGAGCAACAATTTAGAATAGCTCCAAGTAGAACAGTTATTTGGAATAGCTCCAAATAGAACATGGTAGCTGCATCTAGGAGATGACATAGAGATTTGTAAAGCACACACGGATCTGAAAGGTTCAGACCCGTTGACTATAACCTCTCTCACAAGCATAACATGATCAAACCCAGAACTCATCGAGTCTTAATCACATGGTAAATGTGAACTAGATTATTGACTCTAGTAAACTCTTTGGGTGTTAGTCACATGGGGATGTGACCTTGAGTGTTAATCACATATCGATGTGAACTAGATTATTGACTCTAGTGCAAGTGGGAGACTGTTGGAAATATGCCCTAGAGGCAATAATAAATTGATTATTATTATATTTCCTTGTTCATGATAATCGTTTATTATCCATGCTAGAATTGTATTGATAGGAAACTCAGATACATGTGTGGATACATAGACAACACCATGTCCCTAGTAAGCCTCTAGTTGACTAGCTCGTTAATCAATAGATGGTTACGGTTTCCTGACCATGGACATTGGATGTCGTTGATAACGGGATCACATCATTAGGAGAATGATGTGATGGACAAGACCCAATCCTAAGCCTAGCACAAGATCATGTAGTTCGTATGCTAAAGCTTTTCTAATGTCAAGTATCATTTCCTTAGACCATGAGATTGTGCAACTCCCGGATACCGTAGGAGTGCTTTGGGTGTGCCAAACGTCACAACGTAACTGGGTGGCTATAAAGGTACACTACGGGTATCTCTGAAAGTGTCTGTTGGGTTGGCACGAATCGAGATTGGGATTTTGTCACTCTGTGTAAATGGAGAGGTATCTCTGGGCCCACTCGGTAGGACATCATCATAATGTGCACAATGTGACCAAGGGGTTGATCACGGGATGATGTGTTACGGAACGAGTAAAGAGACTTGCCGGTAACGAGATTGAACAAGGTATCGGTATACCGACGATCGAATCTCGGGCAAGTACCATACCGCTAGACAAAGGGAATTGTATACGGGATTGATTGAGTCCTTGACATCGTGGTTCATCCGATGAGATCATCGTGGAACATGTGGGAGCCAACATGGGTATCCATATCCCGCTGTTGGTTATTGACCGGAGAACATCTCGGTCATGACTACATGTCTCCCGAACCCGTAGGGTCTACACACTTAAGGTTCGATGACGCTAGGGTTATAAAGGAAGTTTGTATGTGGTTACCGAATGTTGTTCGGAGTCCCGGATGAGATCCCGGACGTCACGAGGAGTTCCGGAATGGTCCGGAGGTAAAGATTTATATATAGGAAGTCCTGTTTCGGCCATCGGGACAAGTTTTGGGGTCATCGGTATTGTACCGGGACCACCGGAAGGGTCCCGGGGGCCCACCGGGTGGGGCCACCTGCCCCGGGGGGCCACATGGGCTGTAGGGGGTGCGCCTTGGCCTACATGGGCCAAGGGCACCAGCCCCTAGAGGCCCATGCGCCAAGATAAAGGAAAAAGGGCAGAGTCCTAAAGGGGGGAGGCACCTCCGAGGTGCCTTGGGGAGGATGGACTCCTCCCCCCTCCTTAGCCGCACCCCTTTCTTGGAGTAGGGGGCAAGGCTGCGCCTCCCCCTTCTCCCCTGCCCCTATATATAGTGGAGGGGAGGGAGGGCATCCATACCTGAGCCCTTGGCGCCTCCCTCCCTCCCGTGACACCTCCTCCTCTCCCGTAGGTGCTTGGCGAAGCCCTGCAGGATTGCCACGCTCCTCCATCACCACCACGCCGTTGTGCTGTTGCTGGATGGAGTCTTCCTCAACCTCTCCCTCTCTCCTTGCTGGATCAAGGCGTGGGAGACATCGTCGAGCTGTACGTGTGTTGAACGCGGAGGTGCCGTCCGTTCGGCACTAGGATCATCGGTGATCTGAATCACGACGAGTACGACTCCATCAACCCCGTTCACTTGAACGCTTCCGCTTAGCGATCTACAAGGGTATGTAGATGCACTCTCCTTTCTACTCGTTGCTGGTCTCTCCATAGATAGATCTTGGTGATACGCGTAGGAAAATTTTGAATTTCTGCTACGTTCCCCAACACCTGAGTATGTCCATTTCTTTAAGGGTCTTTTACATCTGTGTCCCTAACTCGAACCCACTACTCACATTTGCCCCTAATTCGAAAGCCTGCTCAAAAATGCCCCTCCGCCGTTAGGTGCCCTTACAGAAATACCCTTCCGCTCCGTTTCCGTCCGGTCAAAAGGGTTTGACCGTTTACGGGGCGTTTATTGGACATTTCTACCCCTCCCTCCATGTGTCACTTACTGGTGGGACCCACTCTCAAAAAATAAAATGGAAAAACCCTTTCTCTCACCCCCTCTCTCTCACACACTTACATGTGGGGCCCCTCATCCATAGAAAAAACAAAACTCTCTCTCACCTCCCCCTCTCTCTGTCTCTCTCCCTGCCGAACGACGGCCCGACGGCCGCTACCTCTCAACTCCGGCGAGAGTGCCGAACGGGCGCCTCCTTGGCCGCTGGCCTCCCCTGACGCTGCAACCCTCTCTCCCTTGTTCTCTCTCTGCCGCTTGCCTTCGTTCCTGTCCCGCCCTCTAGCCCTGTCACGCAAGCACTCCAGAGAGCGCTCCGTCGCCGGCGTCTATCAAGTACATGGCCAACGGCAACCCGAAGCGCTGCCACCTCGCCAGGAATCTCATACGCCATGACCTCATCCTAACAGCCTATGATTTTGACCAGAGACGTCCAGGACAAAGCACCACAAACACATCTACCCCACTGCCGAGCTCGGACTGCGGCCTTCGATTCGACGCCGTTCAAGCACGTGAGCCGCTCCGAGCGGCTCCTATGGCATCCTGATGTACCAAAGAAGACCTGGGAGTCCTCCATAGCAAGCTCCATGGCCTCGGGCCGTCTTCCCCATGAGCTCTGAGCTCGGTCATGGCCGCCATCGTCGAAGTCATCGCTCCAGTCTTCCCCGAGCCCCAGCGGCGTCGCCATCATGCTCCTAGTGAGCTCCTTAATGGCACACGAATGGTTTCCTCTCCCTCCCCCTCGCATGGTAGCTGCCGCACTTGCGCCGCCCGGAGCCGCCACGAGAATGGTCGCCGCCGTTTGCTCCAGCAACCATATGGTCCGAAGAGCACATCGCTGGACGCGGTTGAGCAAGGGCTATCGCCTTGTTCCCTCAGTTGGCCTCCTCGCAGCCTCCCAGCGTGCCTCCGCCGTGGGATTTGGTCGCCGCCGGCAACCGTCGGACTAGTTTGAACAGTCATGTTCTTTTTTCTTTTTTTTCAAGATCGGCCCCACATGTAAGTGTGGGTGACAAAGAGGGTGAGAGAAAGTGTTTTTTCGTTTTATTTTTTAAGAGTGGGACCCACTACTAAGTGGCACATGGACACAGGGGTAAAATTGTCAAAGAAACGGCCATATAACGGTCAAACAGCTTTGACTGGACGGAAACGGCACGGAGGGGCATTTTTATAAGTGCAACTAACGGCGGAGGGGCAAATTTGAGCAGGCTTTCGAATTAGGGGTATATCTGATTAGGTGGTTCGAGTTAGGGACAGAAATGCAAATGGCCCTTTCTTTAAATTCAGCATTACAATATGTGATTTTGTATGTGACGAGGCTTCCTTTTCACAAGGTACTCAAATTACCCGGACTTACATTTTTGTCCAATAGAGTAGAGGTTCCCCACTAACCTGCTTGTACAAATACTCGAGTATGAAGTTTGCATTTACTCGAGTATTTGTTTCTGCAAAAAGAAAAGTCCAATATTTCTTACCAGCTTCCCTGGTTCCAGAGACATACTGCGACACATTTTTGTTTTCTTTTCCTCAGTGACGAATACATATTTTGTGTGACTGGTCGAATTATGTTACAGACGTACTAGCTTCATCCTGATTTATTGGTCGACTTCGTATTTTGTGCTAAATTTTAATTATAGATTTAGCTAACAAAATGTTAATTCATGTCATAAAAAAATATTTTGAATTCGTATTTGAATATAGTTTACGATGATATTAGTTGTACTATGTATACCATATATTCACTTCGTCCGAAAAAGCTTGTCCAAGTTGATGCTAGATATATCTATTTGAGAGACAAGTTTTTTCGGATGGAGAAAGTATTTTATTAGTTAAAATCATGGTCAAAATATAGCACTAAATATGAAAGGGACTAATAAGCCAGAATGGAGGTAGTCTTTTTTCTAATTTTTTAGAACTATCTGGGACGTAACGCAATCCCCCGTAAAAAAAAGAAAAGAAGAAGCAACGCAATCCACCCGCGGCGGCGCCCTTCGCCGTCGCTCCGTCCGGCGGGCGGGCGATGGTTCCAGAGCCACAAGGCAACGGCACGGGGTAGGGTGAGGGTATATTTGATCGAACCGCACGGCACGCCCACGCCCCGCACGCGGCCGCCATCGTCGTCACGCCTCCCACGCCCGCACTCTTTTCCCTGCCCGCCCTTTTGCACTGCCACTGCCAGCGGCGCCGCCGGATCGATCGATCGGTTCTTCGGTGGCTCCGCACAGTCCGGATGGCGGCGCCACCCCCTGCTCCTGCTGCTGCGGCGGCGGCGAGGGCCGGCGGGCTGGTGCTGTGGCTGCACGGCTCCGCCGAGACGGGCGAGCATAGCCGCGGCCAGATCGCGCCCTACTTCTCGGCCGCCCCCGCCGTCCGCCTCTCCTTCCCTACCGCCCCCATCGCCTGCGTTGGTACGCGCACTGACCCAACACTTGCTGCTCCTGATTCGACGGGCAAACAAACGCACCTGCGATTTTATTCAGTTGCTCGATCGATTTGCGGTGTTGCTGCTGCAGGCGACGTGGTGCTCAACGCGTGGTTCGGCATCCCGGAGGTCCCCATAACCGCTGTAATCATCCCCAGCTCAATTTACCCTGCAGAAACAACCATTACTGTTGATAGTTGAACGATTTCGTATACCGTATCCATATGCCCGGTTGCACTCTCTGTGTATCATATCTGTTGCTAAAAATTAATAATGTCATTTGCCGAGGCTGAGTATGCTTGCGTCAGAAATCAAGCTTGCTTCACACTTTGCCCCTCCAGTAGATAATCGGTAAACTGGAGCCGCCTGTGAATTTACAGGCCAATTCACAAAGTAAACATTGCTGAAGAATAATGAATAAATAAGAGTATAAGACTGTAAGGTTCAGTATTCTTTGCACTGTGCATTTAGAAAGATAAGATATCATTTTCTCATCAGTTTGAAGGTTTTAAATGTGAAGTAAGTTCTTGAGCACTTTCAGTTATAAGTTATAACGAACCTCTTGCGCCAAATTAACCATTTTAGAATCCTCATGACCATTCGAGGACACCAGCGTACAAGTTATCACAGGCAGAGTACCTGGAGCCTGGATATACTGAACAAAGTAGATTGTTCTAATGTTTCACTATCTCTGTATCCTTGTAAAAGACATCAAAATTTGGATGAAGACAGATAAACTGTCCCAAGTCTATAAATATTTACAGGCACCCCTTTTGCCATTATAGCACTATTATTATTGTTAATTACTTTGCTTATTGTGCCCACTTTGTTTCTTAGACCACTGTTAGAGATGAGGAAGGAGTCCTAGAAGCTGTTGAGCATGTGCACAAAATGTTAGACAAAGAAGTGGCTGCCGGAACATGTCCGACGGACATTTTCGTCTGTGGATTAAGCCAAGGAGGTGAAGCACTGAAATCTGCAACTGATTATTTTTGGTTTCTAGACAGTACTTACTGACAGATTTTTTTATTTCCGTTCTGTTTCCCCAGGTGCTCTAGCCATTGCAAGTGTTCTGCTGTACCCCAAAACTTTAGGTGGGTGTGTTGTTTTCAGTGGTTCGGTTCCCCTAAGCAAATCATTTGCTGTGAGGGTGCCACCTGAAGCCAGAAAGGTAACAGCAGCCCAGCCCAGCCCAGCAACTATAGATAAACTGAACATATTCCATACCTAATCCTCTTGCAAACGTGTCGTGTTTAATCTCAACCCTGAATTCCTCAAAACCTGCAGACACCGGTTTTATGGTTCCATGGGATGGCAGACGGGGTGGTACTGTTTGAAGCCGGTCATGCCGGGTGCGCATTTCTCCAAGAGCTTGGCATGGCTTGTGAATTCAAGGTGGTACACAAACAGATGAGTTTCAAGATTGGAGCTTAAGATTTTGAATCTTGGCTGACTATTGTTCTCCCTTGCCTTTTTGCCTTTGAACATGCATGTCATCAGACTTATCCTACTCTTGGGCACTCGCTGGTGGATGAAGAGCTCCAATATTTTCGACGATGGATATTCGATCGTCTAGGGGTCTCTCAAGGAACTGAAGATGCAAGGCCGTCATCATCATCATCGAACCACGAAGATCTCCACTAGCTAGAATACTAAACAATTTTATGTGTATCACTCCTAGATGGCACATTGCCACTACATCAGTGACCTGAATATGAGTTTACCATGCCACACGAATGCTTTGGAACATGATCCAGTGAAAGATTTTTCTATGATATCCAACGGAAGGATTATGATACCGTCTCAATTCGTGTGCCTGATGACTTGCTCTGTTATTCGTTGATGCTTCGATTAACTGTCACGTGAATCTGACATGGCCAGTGGCTCATCGATGATGTTCTCTTATTCGTGTTATCTTTGCGATCGTACCAAGACATTTAAATCTAAATCTACAGTTAAAATTGTAGTGGTATCTGAATGTAATAGTTGATAGAAAAAATTCGGGGATTTTTTTCCTTTTTTTTAGGGTAATGTTTGCTTCTTTTTTTTTTGAGCGAAGGGAAATGTTTGCTTCTGATTGGCAGTGATTCTACTACTCTAAGCGCAAGCGCACAGGCTGACGAGCTGCTTCGGCCCGGCCCGGCCCATATGACCCATGAGTAGACGCGTCCGCTTCCTCTTCTCCATCGCCGCAGCCATCGCCGCGGCCTCCCTCCTCGCCGCCTCCCTCCGCCGCCGCGCGCAGCCGCCCCGGCTCCCCGACCAGCTCGTCCCCGGCCCCATGGCGGCCCGCAACCGGAGCTTCGTGCTGTGGCTGCACGGCCTCGGCGACTCCGGCCCCGCCAACGAGCCCATCCGCACCTTC